GTCTTTAGCCGCTTGCAGTTTCTGCGGAATAATCATTAACCTGAAAACTTGTCCAAAACCCTATACTAGCACGTCCAATGAACAGATTTTTTTTATGAAAGTGGGAGTTCATAGTGAGAAAACGGAATATCAGTCGGGGCCAATAATCTTTTGGAGTGCCATTTTAGATTGCCATATATGTTTACGGCAAGATTTGAGAAGTTTTCTGAAATAGAAATGGAAAACATTTACCTGCCACCTGGCCACATCTGTCCAGACTGTTAAAAGTGATTTTTCTGCGAGAAAAAAAAACAGTAGCTTTCTGCGCGTCCTTGCCATCAGATAGACAAGAAACATAATTTTAAAAATGGCAGAGTTTGACTGTTGAGTGCACTTTTAAAATTAGGTTCCTGTAAGTAGGCGTTTTCGCTCATATCTTCGGCATGAAAAAATGCTTTTCGTGACTTTTATGGCTTCGATTTTGCACACATTTGTTGGTTGATAGTGAAAAATGCAATTGATTTGCTCTCAGCGTACGATACATTCCTTTAATTAAAAGGTAGCCCTCAGAAAGGCCAAAATTTGGCCGATAACAGAATTTGTACTTTTTCTCTCTGGTCCTTTTGTTTTGTGATGGCAAAATTTAGGTGAAAGTAGGGTTCACTGCATTTAAACTCCAGCAGGTAAATGCAGTTTTAAAGCGTGCTACGGAAATGCCTACTGTAGCGAAAACCGAAAATGAGTCGCGCATAATCTGAAATTGCGTATGGATTAAAGCTTAGCCCACTTCTCCTTCTTGTTTAGGGTTCGATTAGGCTCGCAGAAACGACGGATGAGCAGTTTACTATATTTGGCATACTGCCGGACTAAGTTCTGACTGCAACCAGCGAATCTTTGACGAAACGGAGATAAAAATGTGCAATAATTTTGTTTCAGTTTAATGTTGACACGCCCTTCAGCTTAAAAATTGGAAATAATTATGTCCAGATCCAATGAGCCCAGTTGGCATGATTTTAACGAAAGAGGACAAACATAAGGAGAAATCAAAGAGGAGAACATAAGTGATTCTACGCAACTAAACAGCAAAATCGTTTAAAAAAGTTCCACTGTTATTTCCTTTTCCACAATCGCCTGATTTTTTTTTACTTGATATGAAAATAAAAAATCAAAGTTCTTTTTTGCAGAGGAACTCGTTTTTGACGGTCTGCAAAGGACAGGTGTAGTCCGGTGGCAAGTAAACGCATTTTCTTTTTTCTTTTTGCGAACCTTCTCCATCTTTTCATGCAAAAAGTGTGTAACCTTGAAATGGCACTCCAAAAAATATTGTGTTAATGGTTTTCTTCTTACTATGAACTTTCACTTTCACAGGAAGAATTGCCCATTGACGTGCTCTCTAGCAATGCTTAACACATTGACGACAACGTGCGTTTTAATTGTCTGTCTCTTGGGACAATGCTTTACCGGATAGGCCGAAAATTTTTTTTAGCTAAAATCCGTACCATACTGCATACCGACAACTACAGTATACCTACAGTAATCTACGAAGCGAACGAGAAACGCAAGCGCAATTTCTAGGGTTAGAGCATAAGAAAACTTTTAAAACGAATGTTTTCCAAAAAAGCAGGCTTTACAACAAATTCAAGCCATGACCCACCATGTGGGTCACATTGTCCCAGGTGGCAGACTTTGCATGACCCACCATGTGGGTCACGTTGTCGTCAATGCGATAAAGCAAAAATCATTGATGTCAATTGCTGTTGATATCAAAAATAGCTGATAAAGGAATTTTTAATTTCCTTCATCAATAAAGGTAGATGTCCGTCATCTCTTGATTTTACTTTTGGTTCGGCTACCATCTGCCTTTTACCAGAGATAAATTCGTACTGTTGAGATGTGGGCATGATGAGCTGTGATTTTTGAATTTTGATAATGTTTGACATAAAATAACTAAGTTTAGATATAGATAGCATTATGGAACCAAGTTCCAGAATTCTGGTGAAATACATACGCTTCAGTTTGATAGAACTTGAGAGAATGGTAAAGCTGTTCATCTTCTAATGGTTCAAGTGAAAAAGATAGGTAATTCTTATAATTTTTAGAAATTCTGAGAATTTGCCCAAAATAGCCCAGATAAAGTCATCTCCCACAAAAATATGGATAAAGATGGCGAAAAACTTTTTTGAACCCCACGAAAAGCTGGATAAAGCTAAGACAAAAAAATTTTTGAACCATTTTTTGCTGACTGACAAAAAAGAAATCCCACAAAGGCACAATCTCGGCAGGTTTCGAATAATCTTTCCTCAGCACTCGAATAATTTCCACATGCCACTGTTGTCGATAATCATTTTTTTCACCCAGATCATTTTCACAGTATTTGCACTTCTTAACGGCTATTTCCAGCGATTCTAGGGTTCTAGGTCGTAGTACGAAATTTCCACGGCGTTTTTCCCGGCCGCTACTCACATTAGAGCAGCGTATGTCCTTGTGTGCGCTTCTAATTGATAACTATTTCGGCTTCTTCGAAGAGTTCTTGCACTCGGTCACGACTCATTGCCACTGACATCGCGCGCAGCAACTCCGCCCCGCGATGAGACCGAGACTCGGTTAGCAGGACATTCGGATAAATCGTGCTTAACCCATTTCTTACTGGAGCAAATTTGTCCTCGGTAGGCACTTCTTCTCTAGTACTGTGCGCCTTTCCTCTTCAAGAAGTTTTGCAGTGTCCTAATAAAGGATAAGCTTTTAAAGGACTTTCCCTTACATGCATGGAGCATTTACTGTTAAAGGCATATATTAGGTCTAACATAAGTTTTGAGACACTTTTTTCATTTCCTCCTGAAAAATCTAAAAGCTTCAACAAAGTTTAGTATTTGGCATATATGGCAGTGGACAAAGGAGTATCTATTGGCATCATTTTCACCTTTGCAGTGAGGGTTACAGTAAACATAAAGGTAATTTTGTGACGGCAGTCAAATCTCCATTTTCTTCTTTTGTCTAAATTCTCTCATTCTTCAGATTTTTGTTGGATTCCTAGGACACTGGTACTAATATGAGGAAAGTTTGAAGATCTAGGCTGTTATATAGCGCAATTTGGAAATTTGCCAAAGATAATTGAGAAATTGGAAAAATTCAAAAATTGGGTTGTGGCATGTATACATTGAAAATTTACAGCCCTTTACTTAATCTGGAGGTGAGAGAAAATTTTTGGAGAGAGTTTTAGAGATTTTTTCCTTCAAGTGTAAAGCTTATACAACCTAATAGTATCCATCAGCTACTTCAGATTTAAAAAGATTGAGAATGCTGACCATGAAAATTCAGCCCAGCTCACATTTCTTCCTTTCTATTGTGATTGAGAATTATGAATATGCTTTCAAAAATCTACTATGAGACGTATTTGAAGCTTCTTTATCACCCTTTATAAACATACGTTGCAATCCTCATAATAGGCCTAAGTTACAGCTATAGATGATTTTTATTGTTTCAAATAAACATTATGTACTCAAACAGTGCATACATACCACGCCTTCTTCAATATTTTCAGAATTTTATTCGAATTTTTCTCCTAAGACCTATGAGCACTTTGTATGATACTAGGAATTTTAACGGTGTTCACTCGCTGCAACAGCAAAACTCAAAAAAATTGTATAACAAAAAAGAGTTAGGAGAAAGAAAAGAGTGCTAATTTATTGGACTCCTGGCTGCCATAGGCATATGTACACTAATAAACAGTTGAAACAAAAAATTGAAATAGGATCTTCTAAATCTCGCCGATTTACAAAAGCGCATACCTCATAAGAAGGAGATTTGATTCCTCTACCCAAAAATGGTCTGCACTGGATTTAGGCTATGACAGTCGTTCTTTTTTGAGCAAAGACAAAAAAATTTTCGATGAATTATTTGTTGAACGTAATTTTACGATTAAAGGAAGTACTTGCTTTATTGTTTGCCTGTTCTCGGTTTCCTCACTTGGGACTATTTGGCCACAGACTCTTGTTTTCCCATTTATGCAAGACATTCAAGGCGCTGGCTTATGCGCCACTTATGTTTTTGCTTACACAGCGGAACAATTATTGTTAGCTTCCAGATTCGAACACAACTAGTGGTCGTTAGAAAATGCGCTGTTTATACTCTTGCGCTCAAACATGAGCTTTTCAGTGGGCTGGAAGTGTCTGAATTTTTCCTCAAGTATACTATATCACAAAGCCTGTAATCATAGATGTTGAAGGTTTAGGTCTGATCTGCTAATGTATACAACAACAGATAGAAGAAATCAACTCTACTATTTGCTTGTTCAAAAATTCTCCCATCTTTGGAACTACGTACCTAGCCACATACACTTTTTTTATAAGCCACGTTCTCTGTAGGGACTTTATTGTTTTATTGAATAATTGTGGACCAGTCGTAAATATTTCTCCGCCCCCCCCCCCCCTCATTTGAAAATTCCAGTGATTCAAATCTAGTACAAGTTCATTTGATTATTTGCTGATCTATGATGTAGATCTTTGACTAGCCGCTTAGCAGTCGCAGACTACTTGACCTTCTGTCGCTAACCAAACTACTATTTACCCCAACTAGGTAACAGACATTGTCCTTGTAACACTTGTACAGGTATTACGGTAAGAGTGGTACCTTATGCGCGTTCTTGCTGGGTTTGGCGGAATTTAGGCTAAGATTAAAGGTACCTTCAGCCCTAGACGAAGACCACCGCTGACCCTGCCCTCTTTCAAAAATTTTTTTTTCGCAAAAAAAAATTCGAGGTTGAACATGAGATGGGTTCTCAGCAAAAAACTGTTTCCCGTTCACACGCTTTGGCTTTTTAGTGTCCTTCATATCAGTTAAGAAGTTAATCTTCTCCGATGACTACTCATCGAAATTCAATGCTTAAAAAGTGTGCAGAATTATGTCGTCATCTATGTGTTGATTTACCAACAATTTTACGGCTTTTACGCAATGTTGCGACGTATTTCTCAAGTTTTAACTTATCAAAACCTTTTTCAGCTCCGTCCGTCTCCGCTGGTTCTATGAGATTGCTGCTTTTGCAGCTTGCGCTTTGCGCAGTGTACACAGTTGCGGCTACAGTAAGCAATAAATTACTGGAAGACTATGAACGCAAGCTAAATAGTATAAACGACAAACTCCAGTGGAGAAGAAATCCTGGCAAACATCGATTGAAGAGGTAATCCACTTCTTTGCAAAATTCCAACTCGAAAGTTATTTTTATTAGATACAGGTGTTTACTCATTAGTTTCACATACTAGAATAATTTTCATTGAAGTGTTGTGATGCGTGTAAGTTGGGAATGTAATATGTCGGCAGATTTCCGTTCCGTTAATCGTCATGTAAGCAAAACAACATACATGCAATGCGCTCAGATTACCGTAGGAAAAAGCTAAGCTGATTATTTGAGTTTCGGTACCAGAAAATTTCTGGTTATCAAAGCCAGTGTCAGTGAAGAGATGGAGTAAAAAGATTTTATTGCTATGCGTTTGTAGAAAAATGTCATAAGTTGGCTAAGAAATAATTTCGTTTTATCGTGTAAATCTCCATGAAACGGATCGTTATTTTTATCTGTGATCATTTGCGGGGCAGGAAGGTTGAAGCTTTTATACCGTATATCATCAAATCAGAATTTTCTATCATTGGTGAAGGGCAATTATGCCACTTCCATGGGTAAAATTTCAGAAGCTCAGTTCTTCAACTTCTAAGCTTCGTTTTTATGATATGATACATAAATGTACAGATGAGTAGAGATGAGTAATTTGGTGTTTGGAAACAAATAAGATTTTTCTAATTAGCGAATAACATAAAATTGTGATTTGCCACTTTGAGAAACAGGATAAAAAAGTGCATTTTTCTCTTATTTGCGCACATTGAGAAAATTGGTGTATCTCACTTCTTTGCGTTCTCTGAAGTGCTCTTTAGATAGAAGACATATAAATTTTTAGCTTTGTAGGAGCAAAGCTACCGAAATCGTTTCTAGCAGCCCGATAGATCTAGGTATGTGATTGTCAATGACAACTTCTGTGTGCAGGTATCGCTGCATCGAAGAATATGTGGACGAATACGGCAATGTCATTGAAGAAGGCAAAGAACATTTCACTACACCAGCACCAGTTCGAGAATTTACTATGCCGAGAAGAAGAACGAAATTTCCGCGGATGCACGGCGTTAAGAATACGGTAGGTCTGAAATGTCGTTAGATAAGTTGCATGGTCTGCAGATACTAATACATTGTGCATACTTCGATTAAAATACAAGAGGAGGGACGAGGGACAGGAAAAACTGATTGAATACGTTACGATCCTGCTTATAACCTTGACATTCCTTTCTACTGGAAGCATTGAAAATTTAAGTTGTCTGCCGAAGTTGAAAATTTGTGTGCATATTGGGAAAAAAGTTCGTCACTAATTTAGAAGACTTTGTTTCTAAACCTGCCTCCTTTTGCTCTGCACTATCAAAACATTAAGTTGCGCCGAAAGTTTTGTCGGTTCTTTCATCGATTACTAAAACTCAAAGAACACAAATTGATGGAGCTAGCATTCGACTCAGTTTCTCTCCTCTTATAGCTACATTTGATGTCTGATCTATGCTGTCTTTGGGACGTTATTGCCATGGCTTTTTGAGCAGCTTCACGATAATGCCAAGTTCTCTCAGAATTTTGAAAAATCTTCTCACGATATTCTCGAAGAGCGCCAAAAACTGTTATGTAGAATAAACCTTTGGCTGCATCACACTTTTCTCAGATTACATAGATGACGTTTGAAGTATGTAATGATTATTTATTTGGAAGAAACCGGGCTTTCTGGTCTGTTCAGCGCATAGGAGTACCGAAAACTCCGAAAAGCTGGTTTTTTGAGGAAAATCAAACTTGATTATTATGTACAAATAATATTCAATAGCAATCAAACTTCAGTAGCAGAAACTTCGAAAGCTTTCATTTTTTTTGCTGCAGTGCTTTGGTTTCTTGCTCAAAAATTAGCCGAACTTGAAGCAGGCAAAAATGAGGGTTGGCGAGTTTTTCCAGTTAATAAAAAGCTTAAATATTGAACTTCGAAAATGTAACCATAAGAGAAGGAAAAGCTGTACCGAACGCGTGTGTTGAAACTCATTTAGAATTTTATGTAACTGTTTCTGAAGTGGTTTGAAAAACCGACAAAGCTTTCGGGACAACCTAATATGATCAAGTCAACGATAATAAAATAACTACTTGACGTCTCACAAAGTTAGAACCTACTCATTTTCATTGATTTCTTCATGTTTTCCTCTTTCGATTTGTTTTTATAGGTGTTAGTAACACATCTTTACACTTTGTTACCGTAGAGGTTTCACTGAGGAGTTATTTCATCTTGCCGCGCATTGTGTGCAGTCACATATTGACCTACAAAGGACTAGAGCATATATAATAACTACGTTATATACAAGTACATGTTGCGTTGTTAGCGCCTTCTTCTTGACAGTAATAATTTTTGTAACTAAGGAAATAAAACTAAGTGTTTTAGGGAACTGACGTCACTGAAAAGGGCCCTATGAAAGCTCTAAAAGTGACATTGGTGAAGAAGAAGCGAAAGAAGATTGATAAAGGAAGCGCGGTTTACTCTACCGTAGCCGGCTTGCAATCGGTAAGTGACCTATTTGCAGGTAATTTTTGCAAATACTGAGCATTTTAGAGAACGTATTCATATGTGACTGTGCCACTTACGACGACTACTGTCATTCCAACGACCGAAATCATTGAGGATGACGATTCTGCAGATGCTACGATTATGAAAAATTATTTCAAACCAGCTCCACAAAATGCGCAGATGGGAGCCGATGTAGACCAACGTGAGTGGAACAATTTCTTTTTGTTATTTGAGTGAAAACAGATATGATAATATACAGTTCAACATGATTCCTATAGCCAAGCATTACTAGGCGCACAATAGCGAAAGCAGAGATGCATAAGCCAGCAAAATATTAGTTACTTAGTTTACCCTGTCTCGAAGATGCTACTAGCATGGAGATTAGCCTGTAACATACCTTTATGGCAGTGATTACCCAGGAGTTCCTTCGTGGGAGGGGGGGGGACAAATTTTTCGGATGAAGTTGACACACCTAAAATTTCTTGCGATGCTCAAAATTTTCCCTCCTCCGAACGGAATTCCTGTAATATATCCTCACGGCAGTGGTGTGGGCTTCCTTCCTGGGTACACCACTGCCGTGAGGATATATTACAGGAATTCCGTTCGGGAGGAGGGGGAAGGGAAACAAATTTTTCGGATGAAGTTGGCACTCCCAAGATTTCTTAAGATATTTTCCAAAATTTTACGCCTCAATTTTTTTACAAGAGTTATCTGAATCCCTTTTTAAAAGTTATTCCAAATATTTGCAAGTAAAAACAAGTCACTGGACACACTGGACATGGACAGTAAGTGTAAAGTAGTAAATGTAAGTGGTTTTTAAATCCCCCCCCCCGCTTTCTCGGCACGCCACTGCTTCGCAGAGTCCCAAACCATGATAAAATTAAAGAAAAGTTGTTTTCTCCTACCCTCAAGCTACCGTATTCGTTTTTCCACACCTAGGCAGGTTCAGATAAGTGTTTTTTACTACCCTATTTTCAGGTGTATAAGCCGCACCCTTTTCACTTTGAAGGCGCACACGTCAAAAGACTGCCTGTTACGATGGGGTATATATTATGGGGTATACAGATATTGTGGTATGATCCATTCCCTTGGCATTATTGGAGCAGCACTGTAATTTGAATTTGTCTTCTCTCGCTCCACCTAAATCTGCAGTTCTGTCAGTAAGCAGCAGACGCTGCCCTCTAAATGGCTAACTTACAAATGTCGTCTTACATACCTTTTACCGTGAATTTTTGTACCTCTGTACCTCTGATTTTTCTTGTGCAAAAAATAAACTGCATCAAGACAACATAATACTAATTATTGATCACCTTTACATGCAATTATTTAGAAAATCGTAATATATTGGATGGCAACGTGAAAGCAGCTCCACAAGTGGAAGTTTTGCCATCTCTGTAAGTCTTTTTTTTGCTTATGATGGGTCTCTCATCAACTCTTAGGAAGCGCTTGTTAATTCAGTGATTCTACGGAACTTGCGGATCCATTTGCCGATGAGGATATCAGCGATGGCGTGGAAAGAAGATTTTTCGGACGGAGAAGGAGGTTGTTAAGTTTACGGTTTGTATTCAGTAAGGAAAGCAACTGGTAAAAAGTACCGTCATATGAAACCTAAACAACTATGTACTTCTAAGGACATGCGTTAAAACGTCGACTTTTCTTCTTTCTTCACTGATTATTGATTTTTGTTCTAGAAAACTTGGCGGACCAAATAAGTACACAGGAGACCGTTTGGACTACGACACAGTGAGTCTTAGAGTAGATCAGAATTTATGATTACTTCCTATGTAAATCTGGTAGTCTCACAAGAATTTTGCAGAATTATGACGACTACAATTATCCCGATGAGGAATTGTCTGTTGTCAGACGCAGAATGCGCCGACCAAAACTTCGACGTGAGTTGGATTTTGAGATTATATTGCGATAATAAGTAAAAAATCATCTTTAGAATATATGGGATTTCCAGTGGTAAGATATCTCAAGCGACGAGGTTTCAGAGCTATAAGGGTGAGTATTCATCTTACAAAAATTTTACATCAGGGCTCGGCACCAGCTTGAACCAGGGAGATTTTGAAACGAAGCCCCCTTTGATTCTGAAATTTTTTTACGAAGTCTCCATCGACCTTTACCCCTCCTCCTCAGTACATACTTCACCCTTGACTCTTGCTTTTGCTGTCGCTCACTCTAGAATTGAAGATTCAAGGCTGACAAAGCCCTCTTTTACTAAAAATTAGGAAAAAATTCGACTTCAAACTTTAATCACTTTTCCTAGCATGCGCCAAACGCGTTTTGCTCCACGGTCGGTTCCTGAACCTACCGGTCCACATTTCTTCCCATCTTCCTTGCTCATCCAATTCTTTTTCCCTCCTCTACCCGCGCCATCCACCTTCCCCTTCCCCACTCCTGAGAATGATAACATTCATACATAACGAGGAAGAACATAAAAAGAAGAAAGAAATGGAATAGCAAGTGTATCTTAAGCGAAAGTAGATCGCTTAGGGATGCGCTTCGCGATCAGGGCAGATTGCGCCGCCATTGAAAATTTTCTGACAGCTATAATAAAATCTAGAGCAAAATGATAAAACAGTTTATCTTTTGTATATAAACTTTCACGGTAAAGGTACCATATATGCAAAAAGGCTTGAAAAAATTATGTGAGCAAAGGGTCGGTTTGATTCCAGCTAATTCGAAAAATTCACCACGGCTTCAAATAAGCTTTCATAATTAATCGGGTCATAGTTGGGTTCATCCCAACCGCATGCGCACAGCAAATTTGGTGTGATACTATTGCGTTTTAATTGTAAGCAACGCTCTTATTTTTAGAGCTTGCAGGAGGCATGCCTGCGACTCTTTTTACGAATCCAGCAAGAACGATATCCCCTTTGCTTTTTCCCTGTTCTGGGCCCTGTTTACACACAACCTCTTCCTTTATTAAAATTCCAAAGTTTTTGATATATGTATAAGATAGAAAGCGCAGCTAGTGAACGCTTGTGATTTTTTCTCAATCTTGATCTTGAGATAAGTAGGACCTCAAGATTCTGGAGAACAAGTGAAGTCATCTTTCTTTGTTTTGCCAGGTCCCACCTCAACTCTTCCAATACGATGAATTACCTCGAGCAACAGAAAACCATCCTGCATTAGTCGTTTCTGCTACTCCAACACAGGTAAGGCCGTGAGTTATCAAAAAAATTGTCATCTATTTACCTTGTCCGAAATGGGTTTCTACTTTAATTATTATCTATTTTTGAGTTGAAACTATTATTCACGTTAGCATTCAATTAGAGTGATCGGGATTTTCAACATAAAAAAGTTGAATGGATCGGATTATTTTTCGCTGGATTTTGATGGTGTTGATTCTGCATATTAAGATTCGACAAAAGCTCCGTGCCATAGCAGTCCCACTCCCTCGCGGAGATCTTCTTCAGCCACAGTCGACGCCATTACCGCCAATACCCCAGCAACCATCTCCGCTACCGTTAGTGGCTCCACCAACTCAGGCGAACCCCCCGCCGGTACCTGTAGGAGTTTTACCACCGCATATACCTCTACCCGTACCTCTCACGCCGGCTCCACCATCACAGATGATTCAAATGGAGGTAAGGGTAATTGCAGGGGTAGGGAAACGAACTCCGCCACTTAAACCACCTCCGCTGACTACTGGTCCTGCAACGACATGCAACAATATTGCAAAAGGACCAGTTGCCAACGAAAGCGGGCTAAAACTGGCGGATTCGTCCCCTACCCTAATTGCAGTGAAGTTAGGATTTGACACCGTAAAATTCCCTTCAGGAATCCACACCGGAAACATGTCAGCGAATGCGGCGCCTAGCTACAGCCTTTGGTATCGTCGACATATCTTCATATGCTCGGCGAAATTGCCGCTTCTTGCAAGCGTTCGCGCCGGGATACACTTGCGAACAAATCACACATTTTGTCGACTCATGTAATAAGAACCACCTCTGAGAGGAAAATAGCTTATGCGTGGCTCTCCGTCATGCAGAATCCATTATCAGTGAAAAATATTTATAATCTGCTGCGCATGCGGCGCTGAACCTGCACGCCAGTAGCGCTACGACTCCTTTTTGAAAACGAAGACAAATTAAAATTTGATAATCACAGTATCTTTTGAATTTTTTGTCTCAGAAGCCCACATATTTGCTTGTAGCCAACAGAAGAAAGGTCTCTTTGCATTTGATTTCATTTGATTCAGTGTCCGACGTCATTCGCTGCGATTATTCTTTGAACTTGAAACAGGTTTTCTTCCATTTATGATCTACCAAATCATCCATTCACAGTCATCAATCTAATGGCTGTTTCCTTCTCTTGACGAATTTTTTGTGATAACACCATCACCAAGTGCACCTCGCTTTTCAATGCTATCATTGCTTTATTGGTTGTAATAATAGTGCTCAAATATTTATCGTATTGCAAATCAGTTGCGCTTACAATAAAACTTCTATACATATTATATATGCGTTCAAACTACGGAAACAAAACATGAAATACAAACATTCCCGTCCAAGGAATCAACAACGAGTAAGTAAATGTCAAAGTAAGTCAAATGAACTTGTGGGTAAAAAAAAAGTTCGAATCAAAAGCTGTGTGGCACTGACCAGTGCAAATAACTAGCGATATAAACCTAACACAATCTAATAAAGATAAGCAAGACGCCCCTAAAGCAAGTTCACTCTTTGTTTGTAAGAAATATTTCTTGCCAAAAAAGACTTCCGAGCCTACTGGAGCTTTGCTAATTGGTCCACCACTACCTAGAAGGCAGTCCACCCGAAATTCTGCCTTGAATATTTTGTCATTCTGAGGTCTTCCATGGCGCTGATCACAGTTATGAAGTTCAAAACGTGCAGAACCCCCAAAAACCAGCTTCTCGGTACCCTAGTATCTCTTACAATTTCCTGAGGACAAAAAATCGCGTGGATGGACGGGTTTTGATAGGATTCCGTAGTTTGGTAGTCCTTTTGTGGATTCCAGGTCCATTACCATTCAGAGATAACGTTGGAGGACCGGACCAACCCAGATACCCCTCTCCGGGCCCTACGTTCAGAATAAGTACTAATCGGAGGGGTTGGGTGCCTGGGTACGTTGTCTTTGAGTTCTATTCCTAATCTGTCTTTAACAAAAGATTTCTCGTGGAATACTTACTCAAAACTGTGCAACTTTAATCTTTCTTAACTGCTACTATTTCAGTTAAGTACTAGGACCTCGAACTAGAAATACTACGCACATGGACGGACGTTGCCTTTGAGTCCTCTGGTAAAGGACTAACTTGACATAATTTGAGGAGAAAACCCATAATTTCGATTCCACTGATTTTTCAAAGAAGCAAAAGTATAAGAATAGAAAACTCAAAAAATTGCTGTTGTGGTCAACTGATGAAAATCAACTTACATTCATAAACTACTCAAATGCCAAACTCATTGGTTGAAATCAAGTTGGCGAATCCCTTTTGATAAACTGGTTTCCATTATAAAAAATTGCGTATATTTTTGAAAAATCAATTTAAAGCGTGTTCTCTACCCTATAGATAGTAGGGTCTTTCCGTCTCCGCAGGAGGAGGGTCACAGCAATTTTTTTTGAATGAGGATGCGCGTCAACTATTTACAAGTGTAAACAGTTACTGTACGCTATTATGACGAATAATGACTCTAAATCTATGTATTATCTATGCGGCATAAAAAAGATACTTAAGTTTTGAGACTTTTGATTCTCACCTCTCTTTCTTCAAAAACTGTAGCCGTAGGAGAGATATTGTTGAGCCCCTCTTAGGAAAGGAATAATAGAAGAGGAAAAACACAAGAAGAGGCGGAGAAAAACACAAAAAATTGAGAGAATCTGCAAAACTGTCGTATACTTGCTCGCTGTGTTTTATTAGGTTGGTGCAAAAGTAATGCGCGTTTTGCGAGTTCTCACTTTGACGTGCTATAAATTTTTAAGAAATCCATATTTTTCAGTATGGCAAAATTCATCAGAGGCACCAAACCTCTCTCTATACAGCGCACATTAATTTATGTTATTGTCGCAAATAGGTGGAAAATTATGGATTGATAAGCAAAAAATTTTTTTTTTCGGAAACCTCGTATTTAACTGATCATAACTTCCTTCAGGATTTGTCGGTATGAATGATAAGTTGACTGTCTTGTAGCCGCAAGCCAGTAGTACAAAAAAAGTGCAAAAGGGCTCAAATAAAGAATATTTGCGAAAAGGAAAAAAATAATATCCAAAATAGTCCGCTTTTTTCGACATTTTTTCGTAGCCCTAAAAATTCCAAAATATGGAGATTTTTGATTTTATGTGTACCGAACAGCTTCCACATTTCTGCAAAAACTGTCAGTAGGAGGCCCACCCGTACGCTTACAGAAATGAGCAGAACTTTGGCGATTGCCCTTTTCAAAGGAAATCTATGGGTCACAGAATGGCCGAAACTATCACTCATGTTGAGGAGCCGAGATCTCAGTCTAAGTAATTTCTAGGAAAACAATAAAGCATGCATTAAGTAGAAAATTTCCACTACATACACTAGTTAAATTTTCAAAAGAATGCCTTTACTCGCGCTTGAATTCTGGCCCAAAAAGTAAGTGCAATGAAATTCTAGTTCTGAGTGCTCTTGTATGAAGCTCTATAAATTTTTAACGAATGAGGCTAGAAGCTTCTTTCAACCACCGTTGAATAGAGCATGAAAAAAGCTTCTTGACAAGTGCTAGGTAAGTTTCATAAGAAAAACTTCGATGGAGATAAGCTATCTTGAAACAAGGGCTAGAAAAACGCGCATTACTTCTGCACCAACCTAATATTAAGACATTGAGTAGATATTGCTATCTCCTGAGCAGGAAAATAACTAACTTTTCCAAACTAAGTTTCTAACTTTTTTGGAATGGAATTCTTTGAAAAATCGGCTAATATTTTCTGAGTTTCCTTTCGTTGAACTTAGCAGAAACCTAACTATGAAACTTCCTTAAAGACTCGGCCATTTCTGTTAGAGTCGCTCTTCAACCCTTGAGGGATTTCAGAAACAGAATGATCAATGTTCTCTCTAAATTCGCTTTAATTTCTAGCTTTTATCCTAAATTCTAGGAAGGTTGACTCACGTTAAGAGGCTCTTCAGGACAACAGTGTAGCCAAGTTGAATTTGATATCTTATTTGCAGTCTTCAACGAATTTTTTGAATGGAAGATATCAGTTTAAATCAAAAAGGTTTTGCTAGAGAAATGTTGGCTCCCACTCATTTTTGTGAAAATACCCGAGAAAGGGGAATCTTGCGAAAAAGCGTTCGACTTTGCAAAACTCAAAACATTTCTTCGCAATCTGCGAAAGTCTGACGGTACACAGAAAATTGATATTTTTTACACCGTTTTGTCCCCTTTCTTCTCATCGCTCATTTAACCTTCTCCTCTTCCAGAGGATCGCTCTGACGGCTCTCATTTTGTGAGTAACTCATAACAACGATGTATTTTACAAAAAACTTAGCTTCTCTCTCAAATTTTGCACCAATCTTAACAGCGAAAATAGTATTTGTTCTATTATAGCTTTTTCGAACCCGAGCGAAGATCGTATCAAATAATGTGTAAAGAACACCATATTTGACAAATTTTTTGCAACATGGAGATAATTTCGATATTATTTCCAATTTCTTTCACTCGCTTTAGGCCGAAGTTCAAACCATTTTCAACGTGCGGAAACCACAAAACATTCACTTATCCTATCGAAAGAACCGGTCCCGAAAAGATCCTTCAAATAGTGTCCCAATGCTTGGAGAATTTCAGCAACGAATATAGGCATTGTTTTTTGAATGCTTTACTCACCGCTTGCAGAGCTTATTTAGAAGGAAGAAGAGCGCTTGATTGATAGCAGCGTGAACTGAACTCATAAGAGATCATCATGGTCAAGCGTGAGGTCAGGCGCGCCCGACCTGAAGTGTCGTATTGGAAGATAAATGCAACAGAGGGGGGGGGGAAGGTCGTAATTCAAAATCAGATTCGCTGAGAAATTTGAGGAGATACTAAGAGTGAAGTGAAGGATAAAGCTAGACCGGTAAATTTATTACCCTCGCCAAACCGTAATTTCGCGATAGTGGTCATTGCGTGGAATGAATGCGGTCGTGATCAACATACTGAATAACTCCACTGCCGAAGTTTCAGCATCCAAGATCTTCATCTCTTACCGTACACATAAAGATCGCCAAAAAAGCCAAAATTGAAATCGCCGCCGCTAACTCCATCGAACACCACAAAGTTAGAAGTCGAAATAAGCTTGAACACCCAATGACAATCTATGGAGGTTGTGCAAGCGAGTGACATAAAACTTTGGTAGAAAAGATTCTCTGGAAATGAAGTTAGTAAGGTCAGGCACAACCTTTTAAAAGGTCATGCTGCCTGAGCTTTTTGTGGACTTGTGGCTGACTCAGATAAATCGCCTTCAAGATTTAAGAATCGCTCACTTTTCAGTACAAATATTGAGTTAGTAGTCTCTTCTTGCCCCGTGCAAATAGTCACTCATCCCTTTAGGAGTATGTCTTGAAGGAAAGTCACCAATATCCAAAATCCGCCGTCAAATTGCGTGTGTGTGTGTAAGCATGTGCAATCGCAGAAAGTCCGGCATAGCACGAAAATCAAAAACGCTTCAGTACAGACTGCTTCTTTAAAATGTCACAACTTGAAGGTACCTTCCACTAAATCGGGTCGATGAGATTTTGACGGTTAACAGTAGCGGCCCCAACTGTGTGCTTGCTTAAAGGCAGCGTCCCGGCAAAAAGATGGGTGCCGGGTTTTTGCCGAGATGTAAAGTAGACCCCTACCTAAGCGATGACTGAAATTTGGAGCGAAAGAGGGGGTCTACAAAGTCTACAAATCGCCCCCTAAGTGGCCCGGATCTTACGGTAGGCTAGGGCGCCGCCCACACTGCGATTTCGCACTCCAAGGCCAGAGCATGCATAGCGCACATAGTCATGAGCGCAGGGTCTCGCAACGACTCTGCATCTCTACCTTGCATGCATTTCTACTCGCCCGAGCCTGCCGTAAGATTCGGGCCACTTGGGGGGCGATTTTTAGACTTCGTAGACCCACTTTCGCGCTGTAC